AAGGAGCAATTTCATGTGCCATTTTATAACACAATCCAATAACTATGTTACCTTCCAAATATGACTTAAAAGATTACCAAGTCCAATGACTTGGTAATTTAACAACTTGAAATTGGGCCTCTGTCGCTTTAAGAAACTCCTGCTCTTTCTGAAACTTGGCCTTCAGTAAGTCATCACGACATCATTAGCTTTAGTTGTTCCCAGGTTGCCACGGGTATGTTTTTGATGAGGGAATGACATTATAACCAAATAAGAATGGAGATACCGTACTTTATCGATGCAAACATAATGACAGGAAATGATCTATTCATCCATTTTCTACACTTGCTTAATCCTTCTGAGTCACAGAGTGACTGATGGTTCTCCAGCAGTGAGATACACCCTATTGAAGCGAGCTGTTACTATTTCCATCTACATTTTATGTGACACTGTAATCCTAAATGTAGTTTTACGTCCTTATGCCTGACAAAAACGGCAAAAAAAGGAACTGAAATCAGTAGGTTGGGTTATTCTGAGAGTCTCTCAAACTTCTGGGAGACTGTGCTGTGTGTCAGCAGCAGAAAGGATTTGATTTTGTCATGCCATCGACATTGGTTGGTGAGAAGTTAACAGGATTTCTCGACTCATCAACCGGATTTGTATGCAGCTAAACACAGTTTGAAACGTTGCTGAACAAATGCTACTTTGGTAAATGTTGCTTTTAAATAATAATAAAAAAAAACACACAAAAGAAAGAGTAATCGAAATATGTATATATTCAGAAGTTACTATTCATTAAATGCCACTTCTGCGACTTTGAAAAGGTGAAAGGAAAGCCATGATCTAACAGAAGTATTTTGATTTGATTTCAATTGAAGTCCACAAAATTATGTTAAACGAAAGCAGCAAAATGAGGCAAGTGTTTGTGTAGCTGACTGGATGTCAAGGCCACCTACCTTCAATTTATTCAACGTTTCTTATGCAGGTTGCGGCAGATAGAAAACATGCCGCAGTTTATTCATCAGGTGAAGAATAAAAAAACGTTAGCTAAATGCCCAGGAAGTGACCTCCTACTTATTTAATAATAATATACCTTTTTTTTAAGGTTTTTTCTTTTTTTTCTTTTTTTTC